GAACTGAGTAGACATAAGCACAACACATGTTGATTTAAACTTGTATTCATAACAGTGAAGGTGTTAAAGTAATGGAAGTACAGAAATACAAAGTTCCAAACATTTTGCTACAGATTTGTAATTTCTTTACCAGGCTGCGTGGTGACCAGAGCAGTTGTGCCACAAGCTGATGTAAGAGATGGAGCCTAACCTCCGGGCTTCGAGGAGCACGAAAAAGTTGTCAGAGCTTCGAGAGTGGATGGCCTTGCTGCCGCTCACCAGAATGTGATTCTTGGAAAAAGACAGTCAAGATGAGAGCATGTCAAGCATATGACACTATTAAAAACAATTCACATTTCAAACAAATATCTTTAGGTACATTTACCCTTTTACATCATTTATATTCCTGGAGTCTATGTGCATGCATGGAATTCAAATAGACTCCAGGTGTTCGATGTAAAAAAAGGTGCATTTATTGCACTACTTAGATAGAAACTTAAAATAAAAACTCTATTATGCAGAACAAGTAAATTAGTCGCATCAGTCTTTAACATACTTACTTTGCATTTTTTATCAATTTTCTGATAACTTTTGCATGTTTTAATTGAATATTCTTTGATTTTAATCCAATACTGCAGCTTGAGAATAGCAGAGAGTTGACTTCACTTTGAATTACTATGTTGCTTGGTCAAAAATCAAGTCCAAGCAAATTTTAAAACACTAGACCAACCATGAGTGGCATGCATGTTTAGCACTCTACAGAATTTAACATTACTGTAGTTTATATAATTATTTCGCAGATCATTTACTGCTAACTTGCCATATCAGAGAGAAGAGGATACCGGGTTTCAACCTGACAGGGAAGGCAGAATTTCCAAAACAAACCAGGTTCTTCAGTAGGAGTAAAGAGTTGTAATATCAGTGCTCTAATGAGACTGAACGTATCTTACCATACTTTTGTCCTTATCTCCCACTAGCTTTATACCAACAACGGAAGAAGTTCCAGCATTTCTCTGGTACCCAGTGTACACTGCTACTAAGTAAGGGTAGCTGTCGCCAGGACAGTTGTCTCCGAGAATTATCACTTCGTTCTGAAACCAATAAATATTCACTGCACAGATTTCAACATTGCAGGGAAAAAATATCCTGTGTTGTGGCTCCCCTTTGAAAATTATTTTGTTTTAGAACCCAACATTTAGGATAATCTGCTTTTCCTGCTTTTCAACTATGTAAATATTTGGAGAAAAACATCACTGAGAATTTGGCAAGAGGTACGAAGATGACCGAATACTGTCCTGTATAGTCTGGTAGAACATTACTGACATTTCAAATGCGCAAACTGCCCATAGTATGAACAGATGGAAAAAGACTTAGGGCTGTGTCTTTTACTTTGGGCAATTAGACTTGCAATGCCACATACTTATAGGAAAAAACGAAAAACAAAATGCCTTCACACATGTGACACTGAGGAAGTAAAAAATTTATTTAATTATCTAAAACATAGTTTCAGAGCAATAACTAAATGTACAATACCTTAGAAATATCCTGTTTGTCCTTCACATGTGTCCATATATGGATGAGGAAGTAGACAACTAAAATTGTCAACACGAAAAAAAGTATGACAGTGTTACTGGAGGCAGAAATAAAGTTCACGTCTATGTCGAGAACGGGATCAACGTTGCTGGAAGGTATAAGAACAGTCCCAGAAAACCCACCGAAGTGAGTGCAGCGGCAGTGCAGTCGGTTCAGCGTCGTCTCATTCCCTGACTACAAAGCGCAAACACATTTAGTAAGGTTATGTTGGAAATAAAGTCAAAATTAATGGGAGAAACAAACTACGGTAATCTTAACACTAGGTATATTTACTTTGCAGCGTATTTATAATTTTGAAACTCTCATTTATCTTCATGATAATATGTTATAGACACAAGTCTAATGTTGACCTAATGAACAGTACAAATACCACTTATCTAAGTAATGTAAATAACTTTACCCGCATTTCACGAAACACAAATCACATCAGAAATGTTCTCAATAAAATTTGGAGGCCTTTGTAACACATATGTTTCATATCACGCAGCAGAGTTTGTATATGCATTTAGACATTTTACAGAAATTGACGTACGCAGTTTCAATTTGAAAAACAGCCATTTACATCAGATGGATGTCAAAGTTCAACAAATATTCCTCAAAATATGAACTGTACTCTTCTGGGTTAAGGTACTGTTCAGTTCTCTGGCGCAACTTATCGCCTCGGCCTTCTGGTGATGAGTTCTTCAGAAACACCAATAATAAAGACTCAAACAACTACACAGCTTCATAACAAAGGAGACCACAATCAACATTTTATTATGATCCTAGTAGCCTTTGTAGCAAGAAAACAACATCTACTTGGGAAAGGTCTTCTTACTTTGTCACCGCAGATAACAAATATCAAACCACCTTTGGCAATGGGAAAGTGTGTTTATTTACGTGGCAGCTGCTGTCACTGAAATTAGCTATTTGTCAGTCTGAGAAAAAAAAACGTTTTGGGACTGTTTACAATTCATTATGTGTGTATATCAGTTCCTTACCAGATGATAGGCAAAAGTAACATTCAAAAAAGTTTATAATATTCACGAGACTGCTATCGTTAGGAAGTATACCACTATTTCTCCATAAACAAATCTAGGTATTTTTACCTGAAAGCCAAATTCTACTCTTGGGGGGTTATGTATGAGTTGAAATCCGAATATTCACAGCTACACCCGACCTCAACTAATAACTCCAATGACCAATTAAAAAATCTCCCTTTATGATGTGTTTGGATCCAGTCAGTTCGTAATAATGTGAACAGTAAGATGGTGATTGATATGAATAAAATGATTTGTAGAGAGACAGAAAAAAGTAAAATAAAAGACAAAAGATCCACATAACCTAACGTAACCAATGATAAAATTTTTTGTGTGTGTGTGAGGTATTTGGGTTCTTTGCGCTCATCGTAAACAATTGTTAAATACTTTGCTATTGAGTGGATGGTGAAGTATAGGATTCTTATGAAGCTTCCTGCAATTATTGTTGGTAGAAGCGAAACTGTATGGTTGATCAACGAGCACCTTGATTTTCTGTGCATAAGTTACCCTCAGGCTTCTAGTGTTACCACTGCTCTTACATGCCACAATCCCATATTCTGCTAGATTTTCCAAATTTTGTATTATTCCAAGATTCCATAAGAATTATAAAAGGACAGACAACTTACATAACAACCACTGCTGTCCCAACTCATGGTCTTCATGTTCCAAACATGACATTCCAATGTTCTGATTTGAAAAGAGTAATCTATCGTGAGCCTATCATTTTCATCCATCGTGTCAGCCACAGCCTGAAATAAAATTTGCATTTCATCATTAGTCATCTATAGTATTAGAAATTTTAACAGATTTTCTGTCTAAGGTTGCAATCCTATGGTCACTTTCTTTTAAGTTTTGAATTCTCCACATTAAACACAACAGAATTTATGAGTATTTGAGCATAAAATTCAGTCAACACCTGCCCTGTGATTTACTGAACTCCTTTAATTAAACATTCCACATCCCGCGCACTGAGAATTAAAAGCAATATTCTGTCTTCATTCGTTTCTTATAAATAAAAGTTCAACAAGATTTGTAACAATATCATCATTCTGGCTGAAACAATCTTGTAAAGATTTAACTGTTTAACCTACTAGCATACTATTTACACAAATCGTAATATCCTAATTTTAACAGTCAAAAACCTCCATAAAGATTAACATCATTTTTAATTTAATTCTGCAGTGTTCGATACCTGTTAAGGCATGAAAGATAACATAAAGAGGCGGACTTTAAAGTACAGGAGTGATTATTTTGTACCTCTAGAATATCAGGATGAGGCAGTATACCAACATAGCACCAATCATCATCAAGATGACTCACTCCATCCACAAAAACAACAAGGTTATCTCCTTCCTGTTCAGTAGACGAAACATTGCGCGGAACTGTTTCAGAATATTTTTCAAAATGTTCCAATGATGGCCTTACACCAGCTGTAACCACGACCTGCACAACAGAACGACGAGCAATTACAATAAAACCAAAAGATGACAAAACTGTAATTACAAATCATTTTTCTATAATTGGAGAAAGTTATATTTCTTCAAAACCTGTTAATACACTGGGCAGTTATCACATGCATAAGGATGGGCAAATATTCTGCATCATGGATCCAACAAACAGGCATGAAGGTTAGTGTAAAAAAACCAAAATGGAGAAAATTATTATATTTATATAGTTTGCAGTTTACAGATGTATCAAGGTCACGGATATGTTGAGCACTCACCTGAAGCTTGCTGAATGGACCATCCAGTGGACTGAACTTTAGATAGGGTGTCTGCCCCTTCTTGCATGGTATCCTGTGCACTGTAATGTAGTCCTCTAACAAATCTGTGTTGTTAACTGCTATGACAGGTACAGTCACCTTCCCCTCTGCCATATGCTCTGTTTTATTGCTGATGTGAGGAGTGACATACAGATCAATCGGCTCCGACATACCAGACAGATCGATCGGTTTGTTAGTTTCTCTGTTCCAGATATTAGCCAGCATAAGTCCTGTGTTGATATCCTTGCTGTCAGGATCCCACTGAAGAGGATTGTCATTTGCAACAGTAACCTTTGCAAAAAGAGAACGTTCCCATACTTAAACTATGAGAATTTGAGACAGTACTTAAGGTTTCTAATTATCATACCAAGAAGCATGTGCATTGCTGTGCTACGTAGTCTGGCAGATACTGACTCATGTTTGGAAGACACGTATTACCTCCATCATCACCAGGGCGATGAGTCCGTCAGTATCTACCAGACTACAACCAAGAACAATGATTTTAATAACAAGTCAAACTACTATCAGATGTCACCAAATAAATATATCTTCAAAGACTTGAACATGTTACACTTTCATACTTAACACAAATTGGTTCTTTACAAAATTACAGCTCTCCATTATCAAAATGTTGATAATGAAATGGCTAAATGGTGACTAGACAGCACTAATCAGCCAATTTTCCAATTGCCCAAATTATGATGCACAATTTGAGATTCACGCAAAATTTTTAATTATCAGTTACAAAATTAATCAGGTTTACTGACATAAAGGTCTCAAGCAATGAATATCTTACCTGAACTCTTACGTAATCCGTGTTGTTTTCTATTGCTTTAGCTAATGCTTTGGATACCTTTACACCCTGTCCAGAGTTTCCCAATTCAATAAACTTGTCTGCCAAGTTTTTAGGTTTATCCACCTGAAAAAATAAACAAATTCAATTTAAGTCACAGTTGGTGAATGCCAGGAAAACATCTAAAGATAGGTCCTGATAGCCTCTGTTCCAGTCCTTCACAAATCACTGTAATGATTCGTACATCTCGTTCGACTCCAAATCTGCGTCACTAAATACGCATGAACCAATCACACACGGAAGAAGGCAATCGTGACTATGCTGCACTCCCATAACTAACTAACTAACTTACCAAACACAAAGGTTCATCACCGATTTAACCAAAGCCCTCCACCGGACCCTGTCCTGGGCCAACAAAATCCAGTCCCTTTCAACTACTATCTCCCATAGATCCCGCCTGAGATTATCCTCCCATCTATGTCTAGGTCTCCCCAGTGGTCTCTTCCCCTCAGGCGTCACGACCAACAACCGTTGACACCTCTTGTCCCAGGTTAGCACTCCCATAAGTGGGTAGAATTGTGTAACAAATTCAGACAGACATACCTTAATCCAGGTAGTTATGGGGCCGGCATCTAGCACCTTCTCCTTCTGCTCCTCGCCTTGCTGGTGCAGGATTGCTTTCCCAATATTCTCGTTTGCTGTCACGATGTTATCGAAAGCTGTCTTATACTAAACCACAGAAAATAACAAAGAATCAAAAACACCCATTAAATTCACTGTATCTCAGTACTACCAAATTAGCTAGCACATGTTAAAATATGTCATACAGAAACCACGATTCATACGCAAGGAGCCAATAACATGCAACACTGTACTTAATAACAGTTTCATGTATGTTACATGGAATGTAGAATTTTTAACAAAGTTTCCAACATTTCCATGTTTGGCAGGTCCCTGTCACTGCGATATGGCGCGTCCTCAGGTTGCTGATGGAGGAAGAGACTCCAGTCATAGATGTTAGCTGTGAATACATTGAATAAGCGGTTGCTGACAGCCGACGAGGGGTGGTCTTCCATCTGAGGGGTTGGGAGCGAGGCTAACGACCTTTCATCGTAAAAAAATTATACAAAGCCTTGGAACTGGGTGGACTCATTGGCATGACCAAGGCAATTGAAAGGAGTTTGCTGACCCAAGGACAGGAACCAATAGAGGGCTTTGGTTAAATTGGCGATGAACCTCCGGGTTTCCTAAGCCATCTAGTTAGGTAGTTGCCAACATCTCACAATGAAATTGCATGAAAGGATGTCATATCACAAATCCTTCAGAAACAACTAGTTGGTGTTCAAACAATGAATTATTCATTCAAGAATTAAGGTTCTCACAGCGCTGAGGATGAGAAAATTGAGATCAGACTTCTAATATCATGTACACTTGTACGTGGGTAACGGCGTTTCCAAGAAATGTATTACCTCCATTTACTCTGAAGATGCAGGCATTACATTCCCCTTCAACTATGAAACCACCTATGAAGGCATCACAATCTGAGATGACAGTCCACTCAATTATTGTTACTCAATATTAAAACCAGGTAATTAAAAAAATCAATAAATAAAATCTATAAGAGAAACTGGATGTTAAATGACTCAAAAGACATACATATAAAATATATTCTAAGAAAAAGAATAATGCTTAGAAAAACCTATATTAAATTCTTTAATTACCACACGAGGTTGATAAGACTAGAGACAGGCAAAATCATTGTGATTCTTAAGATTGAGAAACTGATCATAAACGTCTGCTAGAAAGGTGGCCAGTAAATTTCTGATTCCTCATGTCCAATGTCCACTTCCAAGACTGCTAGATACAGTGCAGGCTGACGCGCAAACAAGGCACCCTTAAAGACCAACATTTGTCAAAATAACAATCCAATAATATTTCTGCACTGTAAACGCTCTTGCTAGGTGTAATCTTCCTTTCATTTACTTCAAACAAATAAAAGAGAATTCCTTTATATACGTACGCTTTCTACGTTATCAATATATGTAGGATCCAAATCATGGTATGCAGGATAATCCGGTTCCGGCGCTCCCGACATACTTTCAGGAAAAGATGTACTCGCTGTCATATTATTCATATTACGCGTCATGCTGGACAACAAGACGGCCATAGTGTCCATCACCACTCTAAAATATGTATAAAAAATTTGAAGTAGTATTCATGCTTACAGATCTGCAAAACTATGTGGAATCAAAGTGAAATTAATCCTAACAAAAGTAAACAGCTGAATCCTATAATAAGCTCCTTCATTCAAACTGACATCATCATGATATTATTACTCTAGGAACAATGTTAACATTGTCTGCAACTGCCTTGCAATCAAAGGTTTCTCATGGTTTTCCCCAGTTCTTACCAGCAGATGCCATATAGATATGTACATTTATTAAACGGTATCAAACCATCAGAGCTACTAGAGCTGTTTACTAACCAGGTGAACTTT